GTTTAGGGTCTATAGGGTTTAGGTTTAGGGTTGGTCTTACTAATTAGCGCTAAAGCCGAAACCCCGAAAGCCTCATCCCTGCTGAGCTGCTTTTTGATGGGCCCTGCTTGGCACACGCTCCTCTTTGGGATGCGGGCCTGGGTCAGCAACTTTTCGGCTTCCCCAGGTTTCGGATGTACCTGGGCCCTATGCTGTAGTGCCACTTCTGTTGGACACCTTCGTGTTTCTTATTGTAGGATCCTAACCATTAAGCGGTGATCCAAAAAAAGGCACTAGTGTAGCTCTACTTGGAGGGCCGGGGGACTTCCCTAAACCCTGAACCCTGAACCCTGAAGCCTAAAGCCCACACCCAAAACACAACAAGCAACTACAAAAAAACAAGTCCGGAGCCTTAGAAACCTGACAGGGTTTAAGATTTAGAGTTTAGGTTTTAGGATTTAGAGTTGAAGGAGTTTCGGGCTCCTCGATTCACCGAGCTCTGCTACCACTGAGCCAGGGGCAGGGATGCCTTTGGTTTCGGAGTCGCGCTAAAATCCCTGACCTTTACCCTCAAAGGACTCATATTTTAAGGCTTTTGGGCCCCAAAACCCTATTATATAAGGCTGTTGGGCTATTTTGATGCTAAGGGTTGGTGCAGGGATTTGGGAATCTCTGGGCAGAGCTGTACCCCTAAGCCACAAAAGCCTAAGACGCTGAATCCTATAAAAAACCCACACCCTAAAAACTCCTAACTTCCAAACCCTCAAACCCTGAGCCATAGGGTTGAACCTTGCAAGATCCGCTTCCTGAGTTCCTTTAACGGTCCGACCACCAAGACTGTCATCATGGACCTGTCATCAGCGCCTATGGAAAATTAACTCCTACCCCCTAAATACACGGAAGTTGCGAATGCTCTCAGAACTCCTGGATCTGCTACGAGACTAACTACTTAAATACGAATACTTATAATATCTCATATAGTAGAAAGGCTATTCATAATCATACGCAGAAAAACGGTACTTACTAGATCTGTTACGACACGAGTGAAACAGCAGCGCCACCGTTCATTGGACTTCAAGGCGGTCCTGGGCACAGTCTGCGCTTGCTTTGCTGTCCTGCTTCGGGGCTTGAGGGCCTAGGGTTGAGGATGTTCTGGTTAGGGTTGATAAGGTTAAGGCTGTTGTGGTGCGGGATGAGAGTTTCGAGTTTAAAGGCCTCTGCACACAAGTCGAGCAGAACTTGCGCTCCCCTCGAAATCGTGCTGGCAACAGTGGTTTCAGCGAAGAGTTTGAGTTGGCTCCGTACCCGGCACTGGACACTTCAAGCTCAACGAGTTCTGCGGCTTTTACCTGCTTCGGCACGTGCGGCACTAGAATGGGGTGGCCTGACACACACGCCGCCTCATGCTGAAGCCCTCGCTTGTGTCATTCGCATGCAAAAGAACTTCATCGACGGATGCTTCGACCCTTTTTGGCTTGTATCAGGGGTGGACCGAGAGCACCCACTACACCGGCATAGGCCAACTTCAACGCCCCAGTCTTGCCAATGAAGGTGGCATGGTCTTGCAAAATGCTTGATGGAGCATCTATTGGCTAGAGTTCGCCATACGTCTTCAGAGGGGGGCAAACTACGGGACCGTCCTGCATGTCAAGTGTCGCCTGAGTCATCCTTCTTTTTGATTGCTGCGGTTGGTGCGGAAAGCCGTATACGAGCCCTGGACCCTGAACCCTAAACCCTATCATGGAGACCTTTGACATACGTCATGGCCCTCACAGCAATGGACGACAGAAGAAGACACTTGCCCCGTCCATCAAACCCCAGTCGGTTCGTAAACCACCTCCAAAGCCCTTTCGAACCAGCCCTGTCCACCCTGATCCTTCTAGAACCGTAAACATCTTTCATCGTTATTGCCGCGAACATGCTGTGCAGATATCGTTGAGGGAAGGCCTTGACAGCCGCAAATTTGCCCGTGACACTTCAATTTCAGACTCCATGCAGAGTCTGGTCTCCGAGGTCCGTTGAACATTTTTGAAGATCGTTTCAGGCCTTTGTTTATGTTGTTCCTAGCTAGAAGCATGTGCACTTTCACATGGACACGTGCAGAGTCTTTTGACAGAAATACTGTTCTCCGTCGCGCCTTCTGTTTGAGGAAACTGCCAAAGGCACATCAGCGCACTGCGTCGAGAAGGGTATATTGGATATTTGGCTTGCGGCAAGAGGTTATTGAACAAGCAAACATATTACAAGTGATGGCGCCGCACACGAGTTTTACACCCTCGGTACATAAGCACCTTGCTGAGCTCTCAAGGGTTGCGTCGCATGGGAATGTTTTGGGTTGGAAATGGACTTCACATGGATGTCGTCTTCTCGCTTCATGGTTGAGGTTGCACGTGAATCACTGTTCAGTGCCAGGTGGAACCATTTCCAGGTGGCCAAAAACATGAACTTCCCTGCTGAGCCCCCGGTGTCCCGGAAATCGCGTAAGTCGCAGCAAGCGTGGTTCTTGGAAGGCAGGAAAGGCGTTGGAAACAAGATCAGCTTTGCAAAACACGAAGGTTACAGGTTTGATGTGGGCTGGAGATGGCTGGAGACACGCTGTCGTGCCCCTGAGGGATGTAGATGACATTCGCATGCTTAGCCGCGTGTACTGCGCACATTGCTAAACCTAGGCCGTCAATATACCGTTTACAATGTCGCAAGCTTGTTCGGTTAGACATGAAGATCTTTTTGGACTCTGCGGCGCTGGGACTGAACACCAAGCCTTTATATCCACCCCCACCATGGTATGCCATGGTATATGCCAATAGTTCGTACATCCGCAGCGTGTTACCTCGGAAGATTTCTCCGTTGGGTCGAGATTGGTCCTGTCCAAACAGAATGGCATCGGGCCCTCTTGAGGGTCCTTTATGAGCTGAAGCAAGACGGTTGGAAATACACATCGGTCCTTTCGGCCCTGCGCGGAATTTACAAAGATGACTGCAAACAGTATGCAACGTTTGGGATTTTTGCTTGGGAAGGGAACCATGCGCAACGAGATGTAGCAGCGAAGATATGCCACAAAAATGAGCACATAAACATATACAGTTTTGCTTCAGGTTTGTGGCAACCCTCTTACACACAGATCTTTGATTGTTGCAGTGTTTCCGGCTAGGTTTTGGTTCTGACACAGTGAAGGGGCCCATCAGAAGCATGGCGATCTCTCTACTCGTGCAGGCACGGTTTTTCACCCAAGGCTTACGCTGGCTGGCCTTCGCGGAAGGGAAATGAAGATTTCTATCAGTCTTGGAAGACAAGGGGTTCTGATCAATGGTCTTACCGAGGGGGCAGCGGCAAAGGTTCTTTGTACCAGCAAGGCATTAAGGCTATGCACGAAGTTCGCCAAACGATGCGTTGACCCTGGAGCTTTTGGCCTTTTGGCCCCCAGGACAACCCTATACGCAGACCCTACACCCTCCAACCCGAAACCCAAACCCTACAAAGAAATCTTCAACCGCCCAATCAGTGCAACGAGGCAACATTCCGAGTCAGCGAACCGACCTCCTAGGACTTGCAAGATTGCCTGGCACCAGGACTTAGGGTGGAGGCCGAAGGGTCCAAAGGACCCAATAATAAGGTACTTTAGTTGCGGGTAGTAGTTATATATAGGCTAATATTTGGGCTAGGTTAATATTTGGGAAAGTATATTAATAGGATTATTATAAGGGTAGGGTTTAGGCCTTGTGCTGGGATTCATGGGGCTTGTGCGGGGCCGCACTCGGGCATTCGAGGAACTAACTCCGTGTTTCAGGGCGTCATGTGGTTGCTACAGGGCTTCCCTAAACCCTAAACCCCTAAACCCCTAAACCCTAAACCCGATATACTGGGGTTCTATGTAGTGGCTTGACCTGTTAAGGAAATTGTAGGAGGCCTTCTACAACTGTCCTTTCAAAATGCGTCTACTCAAGAAATTACTGTTCATCGATCTGTCTATTCTTTAAGGAGGGGGGCCTCGCGAAACCCTGAAACCCTACACCCAAACCCTAAACCCCTAGATTCAGCGAACTTTGTTCAACCTTATCCCTGAAAACCCCGACCATATCAGATGGGGACTGGACAACGTACTGGGGCTCTTTTTGCAATCGATACATCGAGGAGCGTCAAGATCCCCATACTCAACTCGTATAGCGTAACAACCCTATCTAAGCATTTGAAGTACCCTGTGAAAACATCTTTCAAACATATCAAACCTGTTGAACCGTTCTACAGCCCTCAGACACCCTTCTACACAACCATCACACAACAGAAACAGCCTCACACTATAACACTCCCCAAGCCCGAAAACATTTTATCTCAACTTCTAAACCCTAAACTCTAAACCCGGGTGGCCTGGCACTCTTTGCGCACCTTCCCGGTCTCGTGGAGCAGGAGGACCTCAACTCTCGCTACACACACCTTTTTGGTGTTCAGGGTTTAGGGTTCGGAACCCCAAACCCCACAAATTACTCAGGGTCATGTTCTATGTTTCCTAACATTTCCTAATTCACCCTAAACCCTGAACTCAAAACCTTAAATCGATACTAAAGCTGGGTAAGCCTAAACCCTAAAACCCTTAAACCCCTAACCCCTAAACCCTAAACCCGAACCCTTATAGTGCCCCAAACGAAGAGAAAGGGGCCATGTCGGCGGATTTCGCGTTGCCACGTACTTTTGCGATGCCTTCGCAAAACTCCTGCACGGAGAGAGCTCCATGAATATCGTCCCCGTCATCAAGGAGGTGGAAGAGCCTAGGTGCCACGATTTAGGGTTTAGGGTGTAGGGTTTAGGGTTTAAGGTTTAGGGTTTAAGGTTGAGGGTTTAGGGCTTAGGGTGTCTTAGAAGGATTCGGGGAAGTTTGGTTCTAGGGCTTCGGTTTGGGGGGCGAGTTAGGGCCTGTTTGGGGTGAGTGGGTGATTGGGAGTTCAGAGACGGTTTGCAACCCTGAACCTACAGCCGGAATACACAAACCTTGCACACTACGGTTGATGATGCAAATCCTGCATTACCCATCATAAGGAATATACCATAATTCCCATAGTGTAGGGTCTTCAAGGTAATGCAGGATTTACATCATCAACAGTAGCAACCAACATGCGCTCTAAAGTTCTCTAAAGCCTAGAGAATGATCGCACATGATCATATTGAATCCCTAAACCTTAAACCCTCAACTTAATTGCGAGTTTCCGAAGATGGGGGGTACCTTAAGTTGGGGTCCTTATAATAAGGATCCTACTATTTAGGGTACTATATAGGAAACCCCCAGTTGAACTCCAGCATCACCTCCCTAAACCCTAAAGCCTAAACCCCTAAACCCCTAAACCTGATCGCTGAGAAAAACCCAGCGCCCAGCCTCCACAAAGACTGCAGGGTTTAGGGTTTTTAGGGTGTAGGCTTGTTTAGTGTTTAGGGTTAAAAGCTTAGGGTTTCGAGGTGTGGGGTTTCGGGTTGAGGGTGAAAGTGCTTTGGGGTTTTGGGTTCATGGTTTGATGGTGGAAGCCTACTTGTCCAGTATCCTCGGGGAACTAAAGGGTAGTTGTTGATACTATGTATGGGTTAAACGTCCTCCACAAAAAAAGCTGGAGGCTGCTCTACAACAACAGAAAAAAAAGCTTAGGGGGAGCCCTGGGGATATCGACCCTCTCCATAAGGCCCTAAACCCTAACCCCAGAAGGTCCCTTTTAAGAGAGTCATGAGTAGGGCTAGGAAGGGTCCCCTTTAAAGGGGTGTCCCCAATGCTACCTTCACAAAAGTAAGGAATTTAGCTTCGGGCTTCGGTTGAAGGTTTGAGGATTCTTGTGGGCCTGCCTTACAAACGAAATGAACGCCAGAAAGGTTTAAGTTTTATATACCATGTAGGGATTCACAGTATCAAGGCGTGGGGCCCTGTTCCCTTCTTTTCAGGATCGTTTGGTCCCCAATTTTTTCAGGCTTCAAGAAGAGGCAAGAAGCATCCGGGCATCACGAACGTCCATGTCCAGCACGCTCAGGTAGTGCTTGATCTCCGGAAGCTCCAACATCCGTTCGAACTCCTGCGCAGGTTCTTTTATACGATGATTATCTATACTTGAATACAAGATGTTGCTTCGTGGCCTGGAAAGAAGACGTGTGCCGTTGCTTGGCCTTCCGGCATGCCATGGGCTCGTGGAAATCCTAAACTACGCTGAACCCCCATGCCGACATTTGGCGGAAGTTCGCTGTCCCGCTGCTTGAGGGCTCTTGTTCAAGTTTTGTACTGACAGGTTCATGGGACTTGGTAACTAGGGCTGTAAAGAGGCAACTATACCTATGTAATTACCTACAACCCGAAATTAAGGTACTTGGAACCTTACCCTAGGACCCCAAAAAGCCCTAAATTGGTACCACCTAAAGACTTTAGACACCAAAGTGGCTACTATTTGTATACTCGGAGTCTTAGGATTACCTACCTTGGTTCCTGAGTAGCCTCTTTATATTAAGGGTACCCTTTTCCCTACTATTCGGTTTTAGTAAGGGGGTCCTAAAATAAAAAGGGCAAAAGGGTACTACTCAGGGACCTACCTACTCAGTCCCATAAACCTCGTAGCTGGAACCTGGGAGTTTCTTTTTGCTGTCAAGGCATTGATGCACCTACATGCCCTGCCCTAGGGGTCCAAAGGACCCCATAAAAAGGTACCTTTGGTTGCGGATAGTAGTGATCTAGGTCAATATTTGGGAGAGTATATGATGATTAGGTACTTGGACCCTTAGGGCTGCAACCCCTTGGTTGAAACCCCAATTTCAACCCTACTTCTTGAGCCCCTAAGTAGAACCTCCCTAAACCCTAAACCGAAACCCTAAACCCTAAACCCCTAAACCCCTAAACCCCTAAACCCTAAACCCTAAACAGGGAACCCAGACCCTCCAGATCATGAAATTGAATCCCAAAGACGTGAAACTGTCTCCCGAAAATCCGGGGTAAGCCCTACCTGCAAAGCAAAAAAACTACCCTCGTGAAGGAACCCCAAAAAGAATAAGCCCTGCCTGCAAAGCAAAACTACCCTCCTGAAGGAACCCCCAAAAAGAAGCCATAACAAGGAAGCCTCAACAAAAAAAGTAGGGGTTTTGGATCCTTGGTAACCCGAACCTCGAAAGTCCAAGGTCTATTCAGCAACTGCCGACGCACTAAACACACCCAGGGGCCCGTCCTAGGACTCTGCCAGAAAAAAAAAGGCTTGGGATTTTTTTGAACTAGTCCTCAAGGCTTCGGTTGAGGGCTTACGGTTTAGGGCCTAGGAAGTTTCGGGTCTATCTGTAGGGTTTTTTAGGGCTTGGGAAGTTTAGGGTTTACCTTAACCCAAATAGCCTACCTTTTTAAGGACTCATATAAAGAAACCACAACAAGGAACCCTAAAAAGGTAGGTCTTTCCGGTTACAGGTAGGGTTTATAGGATCCTTGAGAGTCAAATATCCATCTCCATCGGCATCGGCATCGTTGAAGACCTGCAGCAGCTTGTCCTGGACCGGGGATGCAGGGAGGATCGTCGTGCCTGGGGTTTAGGGCTTAGGGTTTACCCTACTGTTGCCTAGGGTTCGAATAAAGAGGGACCTCAATGGTTACAATAGGGTTGTGGGGCATACTGTACTTTGGCTTTTGTAGAATACCTAGAGGCTCCATATACACTACTATTATGGAATTAGGCACCCCAAAAACCACAACAAGGATGGTCTTTTGGGGCCCAATTCCATAATGGCACTCGATATGGAGCCTCTGGGATAAGGAGCCCTTACCTTAAGGGTCCTGATACTTCTGGGATCCTCAAAACGAGGACTCCTGAGACCCCAAAGAGCCCCAAGGGCTCTCCTGAAGAGATTCCAGACCCTCCCAAGGAGATAGCCGGACCTTTCAGGAATAGGATAGTAACTATAGTCTCCATTTTAGTTTTCCTTTTGGGGGTTTACCTGACAGGATTCGAAATACAGAATTTGGTTAGACCAAAAACCGAACTACAAGGAAATTGCTTCGGCCCCTGCATCTGTTGGCGCCCTGCAGGGTTGGTCCTGCAACTCAGCCGACCGCTGCATTCGCTCGAGGATGGCCGCAGCAGCGTCATCGTTCAGGACTTGCCTGGTATCCCACTCATATTAGAACTATTCGGTGTAACCCCGAATAAACTTATAGCCCTATACTTAGAAAGTCCTACGATCCTCAAGGGACAGGTCCTTAAACTACCTAGACACAGGAAGCTGAAAGCCTCTACCGGCCTAGACTATCGTGCAAGGCTGTGCGGTATCGAGCAATGCTATAGCCCTAATCCAACGGTCCAAAGGACCCAATAATGAGGTACTTTGTTGCGGATAGTAGTTATCTAGGTTATTTGGGAGACTATATGACTATCAGGTACTTGGGTAGGGTCTCTAGGACTTCGATTTTTGCAGACTTAGACAGTGTGCGGCGGATCTCAGGGTTAGCGTCCGTATAGGCTTTGCTGTGAGTGACTGGAATATCAACAGATCGTGGCATGTCTCTCCCATACCTTCCGAAACCCTCTTCTTGACAAATATGCCTTTCATCTGATTAGGGATTCTACAATAACTTAACGTATACCCCTCATTTTTAAAAGGGATTTAATGGGTAACTTAGGGTATATTCCTTAATCAGCGGATCTTAAATTGGTAACTTAAAGTATATTCCCCTATGCTTCCAGGGACCTTATTCTTGGGCCCTTAAGGGGTCTAGGGCCCTAACTATCAGGTCCTTGGAAGCACTGGGTTCCTTAATTAAGAGATTACCCTAAACCCTAAACCCTAAACCCTAAACCCTAAACTCCTAAACCCTAAACCCCTAAACCCCTAAGCCCTAAGCCCTAAACCCTAAACCCTAAACCGTAACTGGAAGGGTCTGGGTCTAAATTGGAAGGTCTGGGACTCACGACACCGGAACCTGGAAGTCCGACGCACAGGCTCTTTAAAGGAAGCTACAGGTGGGGAGTTTAGGGTAAAAAGGGGCTTAGGGTATAGGGGTCTGGGGTTTAGGGTTTAGGGTTGAGGGTTTAAAGGAAACTACAGGTGGGGAGTTTCGGGCATATAGGGCTTCTCTACGGCTTCTATAAGGTATATAGACCTTCTATAAGAAGGCGGGCTCTTGTTAAGGGATTTAATACATAAGTTACCATGATAAGGAAACCGTATTTATTTACTATAGATCCCCATTATGGTAACTTAAGTTAAATCCCCTCAACAAGAACCCAGAAGAGTAGGTCCCTAAACCCTAACCCCTAAACTCCTAAACCCTACCCTACGGGTAGCTACAGAGCCGGTCCTGCGGGGCCCCAGGCAGCCATCAGTTAGTTGGACCCCTGAAGCTCAGCAAACTCGAATCCATCATGGCAGCTTGAAAAGAAATCAAAGTACCACACAGCGCGACTCTAAACCCCAAACCCCAAACCCTAAGGTAGACATCACTAATGAACACCACCACAGAATTGGCCCTGTTTCAATCTTGAGGTGCGTCGGCTACTCTCCGCCGCGTTCTCAGTACTCAGTACACCATCCTTTCTATTCTGCGGCATCTAGGGTTCCATGCACAGCTTTTAAAAAGAGCTCCACAGCCACATGATGTAATCAACAACTTAGTCAGACCCCAATGCCTCGGGCCATCAACCAACCTTAAACCACCCAATCGAACCTAAAACCCTAAGACTCCAACCCTAAACCATAAACCCTAGACCCTAAACCCTACACCCCTAAACCCTAAACCCCAAATAGCCCAAACAAGGATATAACACGCTAAATTCCTAATCCCCCTAAACTCTAAAACCCTGAACCCTAAATCCTAAAACCCCAAGCCCTAAACCCTTAGACAACTGAATCCCTGTTCTCGATTTTCGGGCTCAGGCACATCGTCGACCGAACGAAGAGCGCCGTAATGAGCCGTAGGGCAGCGAAGACGATGGCAACGACGTAGATCAAGGTTCTGGGCGCAAGGACACTTTAAGGGTTTATAGGGTTTTTTAGGGTTTATAGGGTTTACAGGGTTTATAGGGTTTAGGCGTAGATCAAGGTTCTGGGCGCAAGACTCTCCCTCCCATAAAGAAGGATCCCTTGAAGGATCTCTTAAAAGGGGTTTAGGGTTTAGGGTTCTGGGCGCAAGGACACATTATTATGTTATATGATAGTACATTATATTATAGGTTCTGTTAGGGTATATAGGGCTTCTATAAGGCTCCTGGGTTTAGGGTTTAGGGTTGAGGGGTTTAGGGTTGAGGGGTAGATCAAGGTTCTGGGTGCAAGGACACTTTATTATATTATATTAGAGTACATTATTATATAATTATATATTACGCTATATTATATTCGGTTCTGGGCTCTACCCATAGGCCCCTAAGTAGTTCCTTTTTGGGCTTATCTTCTAGGATTCTAGATCAAGGTTCTGGGCGCAAGGACACTTTATTATATTAGCAGCTTCTGTGCTCTACCCATAGGCCCCTAAGTAGTTCCTTTTTGGGATTACCTTCTCGGATTCTAAATATAAACCACAAAAAGGAACTACTTAGGTTCTGTGAGAGGAAACTACAGGTGGGGAGTTTAGGGTATATAGGGCTTCCATAAGGCGGCTTCTATAAGGTGTATATAAATGTCCCAGGTTCTGGGCGCAAGACTGATAAGGGTTTAGGGGTTAGGGGTTTAGGGGTTTAGGGGTTTAGGTTTTAGGGGCTTAGGGGTTTAGCGTTTAGGGTTTTAGGGTTTAGGGGTTTAGGGTTTAGGGTTTAAGGCTCGCAGGTTGGGGCTCTGCGGACAGGACTTGGGACTTTCGCCCCTAAACCCTAAACCGATGTCTTCGGAATCTGCGTCGAACACTGAGTTGAGCTTGACGACATGGGGTTTGGCCTCAGGGCTTGGATTTGGTGTGAAGACTTTGTGCCGCTAAACCCTACTTACCACACCCCACCTTAACCTACCAAACCCTACTTCTTGCAGGGTCCCTATAATTTCCATATTGGGGCTTGTAGTACGAACCTCCAAAAAAGTAGGTTGTGGTAGTGTAAATAGGGCAAATTCTAAACCCTAAACCACTGCTAGGATCCCAGGTGTTACGACTAGATCCATCATTGCGGCTCACACGTGTATCGTTGCCTCTTCGGGAGCCACCCTGTAGTAGGAAGCTTACAAACCTTTTCTGCCGGGGCAGAATCTTGAAGGGTTTACCCTAAGGCTCAAAATAGCCCAAAAGCCTTATATAGTATGGCCTTTGGGCCTAAAAGCCTTAACATATGAGTCCTTAGAGCCTTAATTAGGGTTAGAGTTTAGGAGCGCGAGGAGCGTCCGGCCAGGTTCTTATTGTCTTCGCCTGTATCGACAATCCCGAGCTCTTGAAACCTAGCCTATCCCGAAGCCTCGGGTCTAGCCCCTGGGACCTTGCATAGTCTTCGGGCGCGAAAACCTTGAAATGTGAGTCCTCAGAGCCCTAAACTCTTTAGCTTTTGTAAATCCCATGCTCGCTGACCCACGAAGATCCAAGCCCTTAAATATATGTAGATAGATAATTAGAGCAAGGTTTTGTTGTATACAGTATGCCAAGCAACCCTAAGGACAGCCACTACTTTTTCAGTCTTCTAAATTTTTAATTGGTGTGGTTTCTTTTGCTGGGCCAGGCACGGAATGACGAAGAGAATGCTGACTTCGTCCACCAGAGGTCGCACGAGGTTCGGCCATCCGCCGCTGAACCTATTCAGCAGGGCTTCGGCTTTAGGGTTTGAGCCTCAAGCCGTTAAGCTTAGGGTTTAAGGGTTTAGAGCTTCGGCTTGGGGTTCGTGGCTTGAGGTTTGAGGCTTAGGCCTGGGATGAGTCAGGGTCAGGGCTCCATGGAAGTGAGGGTTTTGGGCTTCGAGTTTGGAGGGTTCAGGTTCAGGGGCAAAGCTCCAAGAAGAGCCCCTCAAAGCCTCTGTGCAACTTCGTCGAGTCGAACCCCACCAAGCCCTGCTAATTGTACCCTTTCAGAGGCCCCCTCATATACAGTCCCAGACCTGATACGTCGGCCTATAGTTTGGGAGCCCAACACGGGACCCTAGTTTTGACAACCCCAAACCCCGAAACCCCTAACCCTAACCCTTCAGAGTCTGTGTTTGACAACCCTCCCCACGTGATCTCGAACATGGTGTACATCGCCCGGAAGAAGCTGCCGTAGCGGATGAAGAGCCACTCCCGTCGATCGATGCCGATGGTCGTTGAAGTCTCAACCTTTCTTGGGGCCATGTCTCAGGTTCGGGCCCATGTAACGGTATAGGGCTACTAAGCTCCGGCTTTTAATAGAGTTGAGGGGTATTTCCAGAGAGTGAGAGTGGTTACAATGACAACACCTGTTACTAGATAGTACAGTCACAGAGCCGGTTCTGGCAGTAACACGCTCCAGCACGACCAACCAGAACAACGAGCGTGTTAAACCCCCAACCCAAGACCCTAAACCCCTAGCTGTAACCGAAAAGACCTACCTTTTAGGGTTCCTTATGATGGCTTCTTTATATAAGTCCTTAAACAGGTAGGCTATTAGGGGTTGAGGTAAACCCTAAACCCTCAACCTCGAAGGACATCCCAGCGGCAATCA